TCTCTGGCCCTTATCAGCTTGTTTGTATACGCTTTCAAACTGCAAGCAAAGCCCCTCGTTAATGTGATGTTTAATGTCACCAATCACCCCGCATCCCACTGAAAACAGACAACGTTAGCATCCAATCGGCCTGCTAACGCTAGCCTTCCTTGTTGTGACAGGGCTACAGAGCTAGCTCCGCCGTCCTTTGTACTTTACATTCAGTTAGTAGTTACACATAAAAACAACCGTAGTTTAACGTAATTTATTATGTAAAAAAAGAAAAAAAAAAGCAGAAACTGTGACTTCCACAATCCAAGCCCTTGTAGAGATGTAGCGGTAGTTAGCTTTGTTTGTTAGCAGCTAGCTGCTGTAGCTTTAAACTCCAGTGATCGAACAATGAATGAAACTACAAACTACAAAACTACAAAACTACAGCGACAAACACACTACACGTGTTTAAAAAGGAGTGTAAAACTACCGCTCACTACGTCGATGTGTACATTACAAACCTTACAGCAGGTTCTGGACCTGACAAGCAGACGCCTATTACCAATAACAAGCTGCAGCACAACTACAGATGCCGGGGAGGGCCAAAACAAAAGCATTTTGCCTTGACGTGGCTGAGCTGCTGCTGTCGGAAGTCAACAATGGAGAGTTTTTGAGTTTGGTTAAACCTCAAGATTCAGGTTTAAGAGTGTGGAGACAGGTCTTTGGATGTGTAATTTAATGTTAGTGGTTTTATATTGTGAATGAATGTTACAGTATTACAGACATTAACTTTAATATTTATGTGTTTACTACTACAATCCCACATTAGTGCTCATAACATTCATTGACTGTGTTCCCGGTGTATCAATATTTGTCAGTGGAGCCAATAATTAGAATATTAAGAGATGTATGCTTGTTAGAAGATGCAAATATTTATTGTAAAATATAGACACAAGTGTCAGAACACAAAGGAATTTAGAGTATAGAAATGAATCATTTTACAGTGTATGTCAATAAAGTGTACTCCCACAACAATTACATTTTTGTTATAAAGTAGCTCATCATTATTTACATGAACTTACAGCAATAAATGTTGCCAAAAAATGCCATTAAAATAAAATACTTTAAGGTGCAGTAGAGAAAGCTATGTATATAAAGACCAGCTAAATTAGATTTCTTCATCTTGTCTTTCTCTGACCAGTGTAGACTGGGTGAACATACATTCAACACTCGAGACAGTATCAGTTCCAAGTCAGGTATTTTGTAATTAGTCAGCCTGATCTTCTAGTTTGTTACTCCTCCTCCTGATGTCCCCGCAGGTCTCAGCATCACTTCCATCAGATAGCTGAGACATGGCTGGACCGACTTTGCTGTCGTCCTCACCTCCCCCATTGGTATGCCGGGTATGCAAGATCTGGTCACTCGGGCGTTTCCAAGACGTTCGAGTGGCAATCCAGAGGATAAGAGCCCCAAATACCACTAACAGGAGTCCCAAAACGTTCACAAAAATCGCCTCTGGGGGAGAGTCCTTGTACTTTGGGTTGCTCCTTAGTGATAAAGTACAAAAAAATAAAGTTAATACACACCGTGAGGCAGCACTTTAACAATGTACACATTGTTTAAGAGGTTTTTACAAACTATTACAAGCCTTCATTTCTGTTCTTTTTAACACTTACAGGCCAAAAATGAGTTTCTCAGTGATGCCCATGAGTGCCACAGCTATAACACTGCCAAAGAGTAGAAGACCACTGAAGACATGGATGGGCATAAACGCTGCTCTCCAGGATACAGGTGTAATTGGTATCAAGTACAGGACAACTCCGAGAACAAGCTGCTCAGTGACAGAGAAAAAACACATCCACTTGTCAGATATTATACTAATCAAGACCGTTTTCCACCTTAGTTTTCTTGTGAATCTCAATATCACACATGTATAAGACACACTATATATGTATTGTATTGTAGCTCCATAAGACATATTAGTAAAGGTGGTGAGAGTACAGTGGTTTGAACATGCAAAATAAAGTTAATTTAATGCAAAACTTGATTATTCATTATCAGTCCTGCGCCACAAAACCAGAAGCCTTCATTATCCATTAACGGCAAATAATGTGAAATAGCTTATTTACCTGCAGGCAGTACAGTATCACAGCTATCAGGCCCAACCAGCTGTGCAGACTGTACATGTTGGGGATTTTGGCAGCATTGTGGAAGTCAAAAACTGCCACCATAGATATGACGGCAAGAATGAAGGCTAGTAAGTTCAAGCCTGCATGGATGAACTTCATTACTAGTTTGCTGCACTTCCAGGTCCAGGGGAGTCTGTAGACAATGATGGCTGCAGGAGAGAGTAACACAGTGTCAGCCAACAAGTTAGTTTTTCATGCATAACAGGCACTTATTAAAGTTTGATATTAAAGGTGTAAAGCACTATTATTGCCATTATAACCTTTTGGGTCATGAGACCATGTGAAGTCTACATGCCATGTGTCTCATGCTTCCCTGAGAGCTATTTTCCTATGTAGATGTTAAACCTTAAAATCAGACTAAACTCATAGTTCACACCCAAGTTGAACAATCGAACAAATAGTCTCAGTATGCGTTAAACTGAGGTAAACTCCCCTACGAAGCTTTTTGTAACTTAAGTCTGGAGTTGTTTACATCTACAAAAACGTAAACAAAACAACGCCCACATCCGAAATCCACATTCTTACAATAAAAAAACAACTAAAAAAACCACAACAACCTCTTACCTATTCCCTGCAAGAAAATAAAGCCGGTCACTATTAGGACCGGATGCCAGTTGAACTCGGCCAGTCCTCCATCCCAGGCTAAACCTTCCTTATAATGGAGAACCCATCTTAACACGAATATTATGGAGACGACCCCGGCGGCGGCGGCGGCGCACAGAGCCACCAGGAACTGCTTCCAATCCTCCATCGCCATCAGTGTTTGCGACCTCGACCGGAGCGACTCTTTTACTACGAATACAAACAGCTTCAAGTGGAGGCTGGAGAGGACGCAGCGCGGTCACATGACCCAGAGCCGAGCAAATGTTTGGAGGAAAGACGTTTTGTAACTTCTGTGGTTACAGAAGAGTCTTGGAGCCAGACAGCCAGTTATTATAAAAAAAAAAAAAGAAGTAATGTTTGCGCTGTGTCATCCTCTGACACACTTACAGTAATGTGCTCACTTTCTCTGTGAAGGCGTTCACAGTTTGAGCTTTAAGTGTGCACAAGGTGTCCCTAAGTTCTGTTAAAGTATTGTACTTAAGTACTATTTTGAAGTTCTTTTAACTCCACATTTATCCGACAGTTGAGTTACTAATTACTTTTCAAATCAAGATTTTACATAAAACCCTCCACATATGATCAGTTTATGAAATACAACTTGTTAGAAGATTAAACAGGTGGCTGGAGTAGTTTAGTCCCATTGTCTCAGATGTTTGTGGTGGTTTTAGTAAAATAACTCTTCAAAATGATTCAATATTTTACAAAAAATCAAAGATTATTGTTTCGCAAGTCACAACTAAATCTCAAGTCTTTAAACTTTGAGTTGTAAGTCCTAAACAAGTCACATTGTGCTCTTCAGAGTAATACTATAATAAAGAAGCCATTCAGGTTCAGGTTTTTTATATGGTAACCTAATATAGGTTTACTTGCTTTAATGTTCATGATCTATAGAAGCAATTGTTTTTTGGGAGTAGGAGTCAGTGTCAATGTCTGTTTAAACAGATCTTTGCTGTACAAACAAAGCTAGTGGTACAGAAAAACTAGGAGGGTTCTGCAGTGCAACAGATTGCTAATAGAAGGGAAATTAATTAATTCCTGGAGCACTTTTAAATAACATGATTTTTAATGTTTGGTCTTGAGGGGGAGGTATCAAGTATTTTCAAGTCTAAAGGCTCAAGTACAAGTGAAATCATTAATCGTGTCACAACCCCTCACATTTATTCTGTGACCCCTTGAAGGGGGCCGACCCTGAGGTTGGGGAACTTCACTGTGTAACTCCACTCACCACTTACTTGTGCATTAATTCATCAGTCTTCATAACTTAATGATGTAAAATACAATAAAATATAACTTGCAGAACAACAACACTTCTATTTTGGATAGTTACATTTTGATTATAATACATCTGTATATTTACTTATTAGTTTAATGAAGGGCTTTTACTTTTAATAGTTATAATATATTGTGGTAGTAGTAGTAGTAGTATTTTACTTAATTAAACAGGGTCATTAGTTTGCTGCACTGTCGGGTCCTGGGGAGTCTGTAAACAATGACAACAACAGAGGGTAACTCCGTGTCAGTCAACCCATTCCTGGTGTGAGTATGATGTATATATGTCCTTAAAGAGTAGGTTTTGTACTGTTTAAGTTTGCATGACAAGCACATATTAAAGTTTGATATGAAAGGTGTAAAGCACTCTTGCCAAGTCTACATGCTTACTTGAGAACTATTTGTTTATGTAAATGTTAAACCTTGAAGCTCATAATTTACATCACACGTCCACATTCATGGTTGCTCTGGTTAACACAAGCAAGCTTAAAGCCCCTTAAAACGTTGCTTTTGTGAAACAGGCCCGCACTTCATCGCGGCTGTGTGGATGTGGTTCCATCTGATTTGACTGACAGTAGCCTGCCAACATAAGCAAACAGCCACATAACTGTCCTCATATTCAGACTCAGATATTACTAAATTCCCTCACCCCCTTTAACCAGTGAGAAGAGCTCAGAGAAGGGATCTCTCATTTGAAATAACCAAAACTATTCCAACTTTATCAGAAAATAGTGTCTCGTTGTAACAAACAGAGAGACATGTATTTTCAGGACTTTTAAACAGACTACATTTGGGTACAACTGTAGCTTCAAAACCTGAAATTTAAAATGAAAAGCCGGGCTACACCAGCTAATTTATGGAATAAACTAACACATTACAAACTGTGGGTTGTGAAAGCAAGTCGCCATAATGCACAATAATCTTAATACTTGGATGAGCATGATGGAAACAGTAGGCAGAAATACAGAGTAACTTGGAAAAATAGAACATTTTAATTGAATACAAAACAGTGAAAATAAACATTTATAGGTGTCAGACAGAAGATGGTTAACAGTAATACAGTGCAGACTTTATTATCAAGTGTAAATCACACCAAAGAAATAATGACACAGTGATCCAGATGTGAACAGCATTATGAGATTTACAGAACAGCTGCACAAAGTTGGAAACAAATATGTACACAGTCTTTATAAAAATAAATGCTTTCCATGAGCTTCATTCGTTCAATTACTGGCAGCAGAGTTTGTAAACGTGGCAGCAAAAGTTGGTGTTCTTTTGTTCAACATGAACAATTGTGTCTTTGTCAAAGAACAACTCGTGTCGGTAAGTCTGAAACAAAAGATAAGAGCACACATGAATCCACATACGCAGACAACATCAGCTTAACGCCGGTACAGTCATATCAGGTCACTCACCTCATCCCAAGGCTCAACCAGATCAACCGTCCGCAGTAACTTCCCGTTCTGGTTGTCGTGCAGTCGGATGTGGGCTCTTCCTTCTCCCTCCTCACCATTAGTTACCACTACTGCCAGAAGGTCCAGCTCATCCTCATATTCCACCATACGGAAAGTCTGTACAATTAAAACGTTCATTATTGTAAACTAAAAAGAAAAATACAATAAATGTTTCAGGTGGTGTGTCAGTCACCACTGGTCTGATTTTGGTTATGGTCAGGATGCCCCCAGAAACTTGTTCTCCTACATACACAGAGTGGCCTGAGGACGTGATGACATTTCCAGCTGGAAGATGATGTGTTGACCCAAAAGCTATTGATAAGCTCAGAAGAAGCCACAGGGCTTTAAAAACTTAAGCTTATGTAGTAAATTCTACCTTTATTCTTTAGTGTTCCTGCCCTTTATCAACTTGTAATACTTGTTACATGATTATTGGTCTTTTTTATGATATTTGATAACAACAAGAAAAATATAGAATATGAAGAGAGTTCAAATAAAGTACATCTTTCTTTAAAACAAGCACATTAAGTATTTTCACTGCAGAGATACAGGATCAATGATTAAAGCGTTGAAAAGCACTTTGGTACCTCTTGATCTGGGTCATCATCCAGCTGATGAAATCTTCTCTTCACTGTGCGGCCCGATGAGGTTACAGTGACTTGTGAGGTGGGCTGCAATAGAAAGCAGAAACATTCAGTTTTGATTGCACCAAGACTGAGTAGACCAAGTTAGATTTCATACCAACGACACAGTGAACATGTGATACACACATATGAGGCAGATTCATTCAGAGTATGAGTACAGCACATTATAGGTAAATGAGCAGGACTTACAGTGTTGTTTCGATGGGTCGCCATAGAGTAATCCTCAACTACCTTTGATGGCAACCCACTGTTCAGTTCACCGAGGATCTTTAGGACACTAAAAAAATATATATATTCTTTAACATGTCCAGTATAATAAGATAATAAAAATGCATCAAAGAACATGATAGTGTTGCTTTTAGTGATTGGGGCTAAGAAAATTTTTTGAGGCTATAATCCTTTATTAAATAGGGAGTTCCTTTGTTGCTTGCTTGGCTGGTATATTTGCCTCAACACCACAGACATTTTACCAAAGGTTGACTGTAGTACTCACTTTATGTTGGTAGGTCCAACATGAATGATTCTTCCTGAGTCGTCAGGGTGGAAGAAGATGCCATCGCTCTCTAGTGAGCAGCAGCTCATGTTTTGTATTCCGTTTGTTGCCTAATGTCATAAAATATCCCTCATTAACTAGGACAGGCATTATTAATTGTAAAGCATACTGCACATACAACCATAAGAATGTAACTACGGGTAAGTTTCCCCTTGAAAAAAAAATCAAAAAGAAGGGGAACATTTTGCAGGATAGTTGTTACTTTGGATCTAATGACAACTTTTTTTGTGCAACCTGATTTGTGTGCTTCAGAGTTTGTAAAGCATCAACCACATGTGCACATGATTGTGGAACAGGCAACAATTGGCCTATTAAAATGGATATGCACTATTTTTACCAGTACTCAGACACAGGTTGATCAGGGCAAACAAAACTGCGTTTTCTTGTGAATTGGAAACGCTGGCAGCTTAAATGCAATTTAATGTTTGAGCACACAATTTATGATGACCGTTGCCTCTGGTGAGAAATAAATGTGAGCAGTGTTGTCAAAGAAACTAAATAATCTAAATAAAATACAAAGGAGCTGGTGTTCCACATGCATGCCAGATCTGCAGAGACATAGCTGGAGCATTTTGTGGGGTTTTAAATAGTGATTACAGGTTTGGTTCAGTCCTGCTCTGTCCAGCAGCTGACTACATAGACTGTCACAAACATCTGTGGTTCCTTTCACACTGACACTTTCAATAGGCTCTGGCCAATTTGATGGCAGTTATATCTAACACACAACAAGACTGGGGGCATTTATCTATTACAGCCAAGCACATGCTACATTTTTGTACTCCAATGACCAAATAATTATTGAAATGTTCTGTTATGGTGTATGGTTACAAAGGGTTCTTTAAACTTACCATGGTGCTGTCCTTGAGTGAACAGATGTGGTGGGTCCCCTTGTGATTTTTATGTGGGGGTGTATAGATGTAGTGCCATGGGTAGCCGCCAATCTGGATACTGTTATTAGAGCATGACACCTCGAAAAGCACTGGAGGGCAATCTGTGCAATAAGGAAAAAAAACTGCCATTTTACTTTATAATGAAAAACATTCCTGCTCACAGTGGCCAAGTAGGTCTACTACAATCTTTACCACAAAGGCTCCTGCAGGTCTGGACTTTAAAACAGACTCACCTGTGATCTGGATGTTTACTGGAATACCAAATGGGACATCTCCCACTGTTTTGCCTCCAAGAAGCGAACTTTGCTTTCCAAGTGTTAACTTCTCTGCCAAGTACTAAAAACAAAGAAGATAGACACAGATAGATGTAAGCAGAAAGATGAGCCAGCAGGATAATCAAACACTGAATATGTAAATAACCCCAGGTACATACATTTCAACAAACATATTTCTGATGCAGTTAAATAAAATATTCAATATTGTGCAGACATACCCTTTGGATTATGTGCTCAAAGCTGTACAGCTTCACTGACTTGTTGCTGTAAGACAACACAAGGACACCCTGAGACAGAACCACATCGGTAACACCATTTCCAAACACCTGAAAGAATAAGATTTACCTTTAAATAATAACATATCACTCCTGCAGGCACATTTTAAAAATGGAATAGACTACAAATAAAACCTGCTTACCTTTTTGTTGATCTCCAAAATGCCCACAACTTGCAAAGGGAAAACATGAAAGATGGCCAGGTGCATCACTGTATTCTGAGTGATACCTGCCTGAGGAAATACATAAGTAAGATTCAGAGATCGTGTCCTGGGACAAGTAGTAAAATGAATAGTTGATTAATTCATGGGAAACAACAAATGTGAAGATTCCTAGCTTTTTCAGATTTTCAGATTATTGTGAATTTAATATTTTGGGGTTTAGGACTGTTGGTTGGACAAAGGAAGTGATCCTTGTCAAATAAACAATTATTGATTAGTCTAAAGAGTAATCAACAGATGAATTGATCATGGAAATCAGAAGTTGCAGCTTTTGACTAGTGACACTTAAATTCTTTGACTGACTTAATGATGTACAGTTCTTATGCAAATAATCAGATTGATGTTACCTGTCGTTCTAAAGATGTTTCTTTGTTTTGAACAGATTTAACATAAAACATCTCTTGAGAAACATCCCAGCCAAGATACCTACAAAATAAAACAACACAGAGTAAGGTGAAAGGTTTTTTTAATGAACTGAAACTGAAAATAAATGCATTCATCTCCACACATAGAACAGGGAACAGTACCTGAATTTATGGTTTGGAGAGAGGTAAACTCTCTGCAGCTCTTCTCCCGTTTCAGCTGAAAGGCGATACAGCCAGTTATTGGCTGTCAGAGCCAAGAGGCTGGGTTTATGATCAGAGGGGGAGGATAATGTTTTGTCCTGTTAACAAGACAAATGTAACATCAATCAGAACCTCCGTTGTTAAAATCTGGTCTTTGTAAGTTCAGGTTTAATCTAAAAAAGGTTTTTAATGTCACTTACAAGTGGGCTCTGACACAGCAAGGCATCCTCAAATTTCTCCAGTTTCGACCTTTTAGGCAATCTGTATAGAACTTGAGGCTCTGAATGAACACTGAAACCAGAATGTTTGAACACTCATTGTGTGTCGGCGTATAAACCTTTAATTGTTATCAGTATCTGCTTACATTTTTACACCTGAATGCCCTGTACATTCACACCATATACGTCACAACAACATCCACTCATGTTTTTACATTGCATAGTGCTAATTTTAATTTGGTAGATGACATTAATCAAATTGGTAAAAATGTACCTGGCAAACTATGTATTCTGAGTGACAAAGCCTGCCACCAAACTCATAAAAGAAGCGATATTTCATGACTGAGTTACAAGGTTTAGATAAAATCAAGGCATTGCATCTCACAGCTGATTTGATTTCTTCAGAGATAAACAAAAACAATACTTGACTTATTTATTATGTAACTTTTGTATGCCAATTTTACATGTGCTGAAATGTAAATGTAGCTCTAAGGCAGTGGTTCCCAACCTGGTGGGTCAGGATCCCCACCAGGGGTCGCCAAAGCTTCACGGGGCTTGTGAGGCCTTCTTGATTTTAAGAGGTGTAAGAAAACCTTTAAAATATGCGCCTATATAGGCCTATATCTCAGCATTTTGTTAAATTTGTGAAGAAAACTAAAGGAAAATTGCTTGCTTAGATAGTATGTGTGATTGTTATAAATATAAAATACATAATACAGAGAGACAAATGTATAAAAAGTTCCTTCACAGGATATAATCTGCAAAATTCATCCAACTCACTAGTTTTACACAAACTTCCTATTTCACTATTTGGGTTGTTTGTTGGTTTATCGGGTATACAACATTAAATATCCATTAAATATGTTACTTAGTGAGTTTACACAATGATAGAAAAGGGGTCCGCTCAGGAAAGGTGTGTTGGACATTTAAAATAATTACTAATAAGTTAATTATTCACTCACCAGTTGTAGCAGTTCTGGTAATTCTCAAAGTAGATTTTACCATTCTCATACATTATTGTGGATTTTGAGGTCTTGCTCCATACTTTCATGAAAACCCTGTTGTCCTACAATACAGCAAAAATAAATAAAGTACATTAGTACAGCATTAAAACCAGGTAGCCAACTCACAGTGAATATCCAAACGCATCCTCTTTCCCATTACCTGGAGGAGCAGAGCTCTGAGGACCCTCATATTGTGTCTGATAATGGTCCCAGCATCCCTGAAACCTCTGCTCCTCCGACTCAACAGCTCGGTGGCGTTAAAGGTTGTTTCCCTCCGGCACGGCGCCATCAGCCGGTCACACATGTCTCTACACCGGAGCTGTCCGGTAGCACCGAGGAGATTCAACTAACCTCAGCCGAGCAACCAAGACCACCGCCAACAGCCAGGTAACGGCGAGACAGGTAACTAAGGTGGGAGCCCCTCACTGACCTCCATCTTTCCTTTGAGACCACTGAACCTGCTGCCGAGCTAGGTGACACAAAAAGTTAACAGCTAACTCGAGTCATTGTCGGTGTTGAGCTAATAAAGCTCCTCGATATCTCGGTTAACTTCGCTCTAAAGTCGTATCTGAACGGCAGTTCGTTGTGTGTGAGGCAGCGTGGGTTGAACCGGGTAGTTGTCTCATAAATAAAGTGATGTCAGCAGTTGAAAGTCGGTGGATAGTAATGTCGCATTTTGAGCGGTGTGGCATTAGTTAGCTGTCAGTGCTAGCTGCCCTCTCCCGGCGCCATGTTTGTAGTCTTCACAGTCGTCTTCTTCTACTTGCGGAATGAAGGCGCACGGCATCCATCTTGGAACGTTAGCGCCCTCCTCTCGACCGTTGGTAGTACGTTGGAGCACGTAAAAACCAACTGCACTTAACGGTCGTTTCCTCCTTTTTATTTCCATCTCCTACTAGAAGTCGTCTCATTACACACTGTCTTATATTTATATATTTATATATTCTGTCCCCGTCTGACTGTATTATATTTATATATTCTGTCCCTGTCTGACTGTCTTTTATTTATATATTCTGTCCCTGTCTGACTGTCTTATATTTATATATTTATATATTCTGTCCCCGTCTGACTGTATTATATTTATATATTCTGTCCCTGTCTGACTGTCTTATATTTATATATTCTGTCCCTGTCTGACTGTATTATATTTATATATTCTGTCCCTGTCTGACTGTCTTATATTTATATATTCTGTCCCTGTCTGACTGTCTTATATTTATATATTTATATATTCTGTCCCTGTCTGACTGTATTATATTTATATATTCTGTCCCTGTCTGACTGTATTATATTTATATATTCTGTCCCTGTCTGACTGTCTTATATTTATATATTCTGTCCCTGTCTGACTGTATTATATTTATATATTCTGTCCTGTCTGACTGTTTTATTTATATATTCTGTCCTGTATGTTTTTATTTATATATTTTGTTTTTTTTGCTGTTTATATTTATATATTCTGTCCCTGTCTGACTGTCTTATATTTATATATTTATATATTCTGTCCCTGTCTGACTGTATTATATTTATATATTCTGTCCCTGTCTGACTGTCTTATATTTATATATTCTGTCCCTGTCTGACTGTCTTTATTTATTATTTATATATTCTGTCCCTGTCTGACTGTATTATATTTATATATTCTGTCCCTGTCTGACTGTCTTTTATTTATATATTCTGTCCCTGTCTGACTGTCTTTTATTTATATATTCTGTCCCTGTCTGACTGTATTATATTTATATATTCTGTCCCTGTCTGACTGTCTTTTATTTATATATTCTGTCCCTGTCTGACTGTATTATATTATATATTCTGTCCCCGTCTGACTGTCTTATATGTATATATTCTGTCCCTGTCTGACTGTCTTTTATTTATATATTCTGTCCCTGTCTGTCTGTATTATATGTATATATTCTGTCCCTGTCTGACTGTCTTTTATTTATATATTCTGTCCCTGTCTGACTGTATTATATTATATATTCTGTCCCCGTCTGACTGTCTTTTATTTATATATTCTGTCCCCGTCTGACTGTATTATATTTATATATTCTGTCCCTGTCTGACTGTCTTTTATTTATATATTCTGTCCCTGTCTGACTGTCTTTTATTTATATATTCTGTCCCTGTCTGACTGTATTATATTTATATATTCTGTCCCTGTCTGACTGTCTTTTATTTATATATTCTGTCCCTGTCTGTCTGTATTATATGTATATATTCTGTCCCTGTCTGACTGTATTATATTTATATATTCTGTCCCTGTCTGACAGTCTTATATTTATATATTCTGTCCCTGTCTGACTGTCCTATATTTATATATTCTGTCCCTGTCCGACTGTATTATATTTATATATTCTGTCCCTGTCTGACTGTCTTATATTTATATATTTATATATTCTGTCCCTGTCTGACTGTCTTTTATTTATATATTCTGTCCCTGTCTGACTGTATTATATTTATATATTCTGTCCCTGTCTGACTGTCTTTTATTTATATATTCTGTCCCTGTCTGACTGTATTATATTTATATATTCTGTCCCTGTCTGACTGTCTTTTATTTATATATTCTGTCCCTGTCTGACTGTATTATATTTATATATTCTGTCCCTGTCTGACAGTCTTATATTTATATATTCTGTCCCTGTCTGACTGTCCTATATTTATATATTCTGTCCCTGTCCGACTGTATTATATTTATATATTCTGTCCCTGTCTGACTGTCTTATATTTATATATTTATATATTCTGTCCCTGTCTGACTGACTGTCTTTTATTTATATATTCTGTCCCTGTCTGACTGTATTATATTTATATATTCTGTCCCTGTCTGACTGTCTTTTATTTATATATTCTGTCCCTGTCTGACTGTATTATATTTATATATTCTGTCCCTGTCTGACTGTCTTTTATTTATATATTCTGTCCCTGTCTGACTGTATTATATTTATATTTTCTGTCCCTGTCTGACTGTCTTATATTTATATATTCTGTCCCTGTCTGACTGTCCTATATTTATATATTCTGTCCCTGTCTGACTGTATTATATTTATATATTCTGTCCCTGTCTGACTGTCTTATATTTATATATTCTGTCCCTGTCTGACTGTCCTATATTTATATATTCTGTCCCTGTCTGACTGTCTTTTATTTATATATTCTGTCCCTGTCTGACTGTCTTATATTTATATATTCTGTCCTTGTCTGACTGTCTTATATTTATATATTCTGTCCCTGTCTGACTGTCTTATATTTATATATTCCGTCCCTGTCTGACTGTATTATATTTATATATTCCGTCCCTGTCTGACTGTCTTATATTTATATATTCCGTCCCTGTCTGACTGTATTATATTTATATTTTCTGTCCCTGTCTGACTGTATTATATTTATATTTTCTGTCCCTGTCTGACTGTCCTATATTTATATATTCTGTCCCTGTCTGACTGTATTATATTTATATATTCTGTCCCTGTCTGACTGTCTTATATTTATATATTCTGTCCCTGTCTGACTGTCCTATATTTATATATTCTGTCCCTGTCTGACTGTCTTTTATTTATATATTCTGTCCCTGTCTGACTGTATTATATTTATATATTCTGTCCCTGTCTGACTGTCTTATATTTATATATTCTGTCCCTGTCTGACTGTCTTATATTTATATATTCTGTCCCTGTCTGACTGTCCTATATTTATATATTCTGTCCCTGTCTGACTGTATTATATTTACATATTCTGTATTGACTGGCTCCAGCTCTCCACTGAAGCTTTATGTTTATATTGAATGAAACAGCCTGAGGCATTTGGTACTTTTGGAAACCACTCGAATTTAAAATAAAGGTCTGCGGGTTACTGAGACCCATTGACAGTATATATATATGTATATATAACGTTAATAATATAATATATGTGTTTGAACAAAGTTTGTCTACACAGCATTTGGCAATAAAGCAGCAATAAGTACAATTCAGAGGTCTGACCTAAGTCATGTAAAAGTTCTGTAGAGTTTCAGATTCAGAAAAATCAAAAGATAAAAATTACATAAAACTAGGATACATTGTACTCTGTCTTAACCTTACATTAATCTTGACAAAAACAAAAATGCTCTTGTCTTTAGTAGAAACCAAAACAAATCAGGTTTCTTAGACTGTATTTTCCTTTAAATAGCATCTCCTCAGGTCACACCAAGATTACACAAAACAAAAAAATGCTGCTCCTAAGGCAAGTTTTTAACTGAGCACACAGGGACCTTTGTTTCATCTAAATCAATTATGTAAAGTTATTTAATTTCTAAGCTTTGTTCTTTATAGTTTAATAATATTTTGTTCTTGAATATATTTAGATTAAACTGCAAATTGCTCTTGAAAATAAAACATGTTGATGACGATATCCAGCAGAAAAATATATAATACTTTTTTTTAGCATTACACAGCCACAGCGCCCACACGTCCTACTATCCACAGGTGCATTGTGAAAGAATTGTAAAATGAATTCAACTCTTCCTGCACTTTTACAGAGTAAATGCATAAACTGCGGAGCTCCTCTGTAGCCACATTGGCTAACGTTTTCACCAGATTGTCCTCAAGATTGAAGAGCACAGGAGGAAGACCTTCAGCTCCATTGGGTTCACGGATACTGAACAATCACGATGAAATCTTTAAGCACAACATATGGTCAGTGATGTACTGTTGCAAGTCACCTGTTTGTATTTGTGCATTTTATGGAGATAGTAGGATTACAGTGTAGGTGTTTTTTAGAGCTACATTAAGAGCTTTCTGATTAATTTCAAAACACACCAGTGGATTTATGTTATTTGTAATTTTATTCAGTTCCTGAGTTACTGTAGTTGAACAGATGTATCAACAGTTGCTTTTTTAATGCTTTATATATTTTAGGGATCATATACAATGGACAGAAGAGGATAAAGAAAATGCACGACGGAAGGCAGAAGAAAATTCCTCTATACAAATTCCTTTAAGGGAGCAAGGCAAGTCTCAATTCCAACCAAATATTTGAGAGTTGATTGGAGTTACATGGCAATATTAAAATAAAATATTCTTAAATCTCCTCCACACAGGTAAATTTGACACAGAGGCTCACCAATACTGGGACAAGTTTTATGAGATGCACCAGGATAAGTTCTTTAAAGACCGCAAGTGGCTGTTTTTAGAATTCCCAGAGCTGCTTCCTTCAGGAAAAACAGAAACCACAAACAGGTTTGTGGGAGATCAGCAGGCGGCACAACTTACTGGATCCAACACGGACGCAGAGACCCGGCACCAGCAACACAACAACCCCACACACCATCACAGGAATACAGGCACCTGCAATCATCAGGAGTCCTGTCAAGGAGCAGCACTAGAAAAAGATGAAGCTGCCATACAGACTACTACTTTCCCTGGCCAGCATGCATCTTTCAGGATTCTGGAGGTTTTTAAAACAGTTCACATGTATCGATGATTTGTTTTAATATAGACTGCTGCATGGGGACCATTACATAATTGTTACATAAAACGTAGTCAGCTATAAGTTGCCCTACTGAATGTGTCAAATAACAGCATTTACAAATGTGCTTTTCCATGTTTCAGAAATATCAACAATGTTTCTTTTCTCTTCACAGGTTGGATGTGGGGTTGGTAACAGTGTTTTTCCCATCCTTAATACCGTAAAGTGAGTAAAAATATTTGATATTTTTCCATAAAATAAGTTAACTACTATGTCATTAATGTGGATCATATGTCAATTTTAGTGCAGACTATGTTTACAGAAGCAAATAACACCCAATATTGGCCAATACAACATTGCATTATTTACCATTTAGTGTTTATTGTGCATGCACCATTACATTATCCAGGTACACATTCCCATCAAACACAAAACTGTGGCTCATCACCAATAATATCTATATAACATTTTTGGAGCAAGATTTATGAACTATTTGATGAAAAGTGCAAATATTTCTTGTACAGTTAAAATACACATTGACTATGTTTGCTGATTTTAATGGCTGTTCAAACTGCAGCAACTGTGGGGAAAAAAATATTGGGCATTAATGTGTGTGTCATTACAAAATACTTCCAACACACACAATACCAGGACCCTGAAACTGAAGCAGATACAAGGAATCCAGCCACAATTTATTTTCCAATGTTTGTCAAAATGTCTTCTGTGAAAAAAGCCTGTATGCCTCTTTACACAACGGGCTCCTGGAGGGCGGCCTAGATACTAAAATCAGTTTCTGGATAAGTAGTGAGGACGGAAAAGAGGAAGCATTTTTCTGGTATTGAAATACACCTCAGGCTTTAATTCCTCTGCAGTGATGGGAAAGAGTGCAGAAGTGTAACAAACAGTGAGTTTCTATTCCAGGTTTTCATGTTTTTCGGATAAGATACGAGTCTAATTTAACATTGGAAAAGTTGCCCTTTAACACTTTTCACTAACACAGAGATTGCATCTGTACACTTTTTTTGTAGATTTGTAGATTTGTTCTACATCACTTTGCAAGTTTAAGAAAATAATGAATAAAGGTAAAATCTTGGCTTCAGTGGATAACCCTAATAAGGGCTCCATGAAAGGAAAGGTGCTTTATCACACAGTTGTACTGTTGGGGTTGTTAAATTGGCTGTTCTGTTTCACAGAGACATGGATGCATTTGTATACTGTTGTGACTTCTCCCCATGTGCCATTCAGCTGGTGAAGGTAAGCATTGCTAATATTGCTTGGTATGAACATGCACAATATAGACTGTATTGAGGTTAATACATTTTTTCAGAGAAATACTGACTAAAATCACTTATATTTTAAAACAGCCAATGTTTTAAAATAAGTCAACCATGTAATAGACTGCTTAAATATTTAGACAGATTACATTAACATTTGATGAAGTAATGTATTTATTGTACAGTCGGTGTTAATATCAGTCTTTGAGCTTTCAAGAATAATGATTCAAATTACATTTTATAGTTCAGACCATTGTTCCCTCAAACAATGTGTGTACTTGTACCAAAGGTTAATTTAAACCTCTGCCTAAAAGCTCTGGTCATTTGTAGATGATATTTTTGCATAGACTTGAACATAATTTCAATGTAAATTATCTTCTTTTTTTGTATGCTATTACTATATTTAAACTCATTTTCAAATGCCTGAATATGTTTGTATCCTGACATAACGGGACATATTTCTTATCTTTAACAAGTCTTTTCTCAGTAGATGAAGAGCATAAAAACAAAATGTTGATAGAGTGATTACAGTAGATGTGTCTTTATTAGAACTAATGGATTACAGTCAAAACTGTTCAAATCTGTAGGCTTGAAATCACAACATTGTGTCATAATAACATTAAAAAAACAACCTAAGAAGGAATATATAAACTGTGTCTTAGCACAAGAACACAACACAAATTGCATTATTATATTTATAGCTAAAATTTGCATTGTTCAATTGAAGAGGAAGATATTGATTTACTACATTTAAACTGAAATATTACTATATAAAGTTGCATATATAGAGAGATTTATCCATTATAAAATCCATACCCTTGGATTAGTTGGATTTATTTGATTATTCCTTGTAATATTTGATGTAAAAGATTTGTAATATTACTTGAATGACTGAGATTACATACTATACCAGGCAGCTTTTCATTTATGTCACCCTGTTTTATAGTTTATTCTTTGGATTATTTATGCAGTACATTTACATTTAACCTGATTTAAGTGCAAAATTATTCTGTATATAAATTCCTTCAGCAACTTACAGAGGGAATGCAAAGGTCAAAGTTACAGTGCCCTTGCAATATTTAAGAGATATGCAATATGAAGGGGAAGTGATGGCAAGGCAGAAAATCCGTTGTTTCAATACCAGTGAAATTTGGAAATACTATTTACTGTTTTAGATAAAACTGAACAGGTTACCCGAATCTGTATCTGAGTTACCATTTGGAAATGTACTTCAGCCCTCTGTGTTTTCCTCATATAGGACCATCCAGACTACGATGAGTCTGTGTGCCATGCCTTTGTCCATGACATTTGTGAGGAGCTGGCCTCCTTTCCCTTCCCTCCTCAGAGCCTGGATGTTATTCTGGCAGTCTTTGTGTTCTCCTCCATTCATCCAGACCGGTAGGTGAAGGTTACAAGACAAAGGAGAGCCCAACATAATTTCTCACCTGCCAGACCCCCTCCACATCCCCTAAAACACCCGCGACTCACCTTCACTCTCCCCAGTCTTTGTCTGAATGTCATTACAAAAACCCAAAATATAAATCTCAACTATATTATGTGACGGAGTACAATATATTGCTTGACATTGAAGGTATAAACGAATTTAAGGGATGGCAGCATGCATATTTTAATTTTTAGGCTGTAGTATTACCTCAGCACTTTAGCACTCTCTGTGGAAGTCATTTCAGCTTAGAATACTTTACATGTTAAGCTGTTTGTTTTAAAGCCTTAATGAATATATTCCCATATACTGCAGCCTATGTTTTGTCCACGGTTACTTCTTTATGATCTTCATTAGCTGCAATTGTACTGTACATTATTGTTTCACTAATTGACATTTCATTGACAGACTAAAGGGAATTGTGAACCGACTATCCAGACACCTGAAACCTGGAGGAATATTCCTCTTCCGTGATTATGGGAGACATGACTTATCACAACTCCGGTTTAAGAAGGGTGAGCCTCCAACTAGAAACACACACCTAAATACAGCCATTTTATCTCCTTTGCCTCATTTGTTGTATATTCTGTATATCCTTCTGTGTGTTTTTGATAATTCAGTACATTTCATTTTTAATAATTTAATCTTTTAATCTCTCACAATCAGGACGGTGTTTATCAGAGAATTTCTACACTCGTGGAGATGGAACCTGCGTCTACTTTTTTACTAAAGGTAATTCTGAACTATGAGATCTGCATTTTCTCCCACGTGGAGTAAATAGTTGCTGACAGGACCGTAGATTGAGGACGCTGAGGTCATGTCTTTTGTACTCTCTGGGAATGTGGAGGCTTTAGGAACCTTGGGGGGGAGTTTATATTTTACAGGGATGGGTATTTTGTGGGTACTTGAATACGCTGACAAGGTATATTTAAGTTTGACTGTTTTTCAGGCCAATAAATAGATAAAGAATTAACTTTTCACACCAGAATTTCACTTCTGGCAGTGAGGAAAAGGCTTTAAAATAGCATTTACAACTTCATGTTGGAGATAATATATCTAAACAGTTAACTAAATAAATGAAATGGTAACATGACTCATGACCTCCGGTATTTAAAAAATCCTGGCTATATCCCTGGTTACTGACAGTGTTTTTATATATATTTATTTTTATTTTTTTACAGAAGAGGTTCATGATTTATTTTCCAGTGCTGGACTGGAAGAAGTTCAGAATCTGGAGGACAAGCGACTCCAAGTAAACAGAGGAAAGAAAGTTGCAATGCTCCGAGTTTGGATGCAGAGCAAGTACAGAAAATTGCATCCACCATCTTAACATCCCACCATGAACAGCCTATTTGTGAGCAATACTCATTTTTATACTTTGCTTTGTATTTATTTAATCCAAACTGATTGTTTGGGTTTTTTTTATTTTTTACCAAAGGTGTATGTGTACAACAACAAAACTGAATGCAATAAACGTACAAAACATGTTTTCAAACAACGCTGTGGTGTTATCTGATTTTATATTCTGTAGATCACTGTATTAATATTTGTTTTAATATCTGTGATATAATCACAAGAATGATTTAAGGTCCACGGGGGAAATACAGTGAATATACATTAGAGTTGAAAAATGAAAAACTCTGACGATTATGATTGAAGTAAAATTAACGTTTCTTATTTTCATGTTTAAGTTTGACTACAAATAGGCTAAAGTACTCAACTACAAGTAAATTCTGCATTCAAAACTATACTTAAGTAAAAATATGTAAGTATTAGTAAGTAAGTATGTAGGTCAGTGTTTTATTACTGTATATGATGACTTTGGAATAATATTACTAGTGCATTTTACTGCTGTAGAGGTTTACGATTGAGATCATTTTAACTAGTTTATATACTGTTGGTAGTATAGTAACAGCAATGAAATTATATTGTTGTCCTGAGAACAATGTAGCCTCTTTCTAAAAAAAAATAAGTAAAGTACAAATACCTAAAATGTGCGCTCAAGTACAGTACTTAAATAAATGGACCAGAGACAGTTTTTGCATTTTAGAAATACTCATGACAAATTATGAGATGATAAATCAAAAGTATGATTACAACATACATATAACAATATAATTTGATTTGATTAAAGTCTACAACTTGTGTGCATAATGTGGTTATTCATAATCCACGTATGCAGTGTGTATAATTTAAAAGTAGTAGTTTGGATTTTGTTTTGCCCTCTAATTGGTGCAGATGCCACAAGCAGCAACCACTGGCAGCCTGTAGTTGTATATGACTGATGACTCTATTTTGTTGTTTATTAGATGATTTAGACAGATTGGTCCTATTTACTGTTACTTACAGAGGAGTCTCTAAGCATGTTGTAGTGACTGTTCATGTGATCTTAAGGTGTAACCAGCGAAAAGTGTGTTAGCAAAGGTTAATTTACATTGTCAAACTCCTGAAAATTGATCACTGCTCCTGTAGTAAGTGGTTATGGTATAGTGGGGATGATAAGAAAAAAGTTGAATACTCTTTAATGTCTTAATCCAGGGAAATGTCTTTTAGTAAGTGCTTAACTTTAGATGGTATCTGATTATTAAATTATAGACACACTACATTTGTTTTTTAGAAAACTACATTAATCACAAGCCTATTTTCAAATGAGTGACCAACAGGTTCGTCAGTGGGACATTTTGTCAAAAATATCCTAAAACTAATCCAAAACTATCCCCATGGTGATGATTAAAAAAAAGTTTTATATTTAAACATCATAATGCTCTTTGATAAAACTCTTCAACCCGTATGCATACTGTGTCTATACACACTCCGTGCATGCAGCGTGTCTATAATCTCAAAGTAGTCCAGTCCAGTGTGTCCCTCGTGTTGTTGTTGACGTAAAGAAAAAAATGTATCACCCTCGCGATAAGAATTTTGCACACGATGCATGACGTTTCATTGGCAACCACTTGAAGACGGAGAGGTGGCCCCGGAGCCAGGACGCAGTGCCGAGGTGTGGAGAGGTTTGTGCCCTAAAAAACAGACACAAATTAGACATTTTAACTCAGTGGCAGCCACTCTTCCCATGTTAAAACAACTGTGTGATGCCAGTCTGCTATTTTCACACTCTTACGTGAAAGATTAACCGTGTGCGCTGCGGTGCCAACACACGAAAAGTAGCTTGATGAGTGTCCAAAGTAGTGGAAGTTTGGAGGGGACGCCATCTTTGGTCCCAGCTCTCCACGTCCCCAACACGGACTGTGTTTTCAGCAACATACCACGGCAGTGGTGAAGGCCCAGGAAGGTACCGTTAAACGTTTTAAGACGTATATGTGTTTTCTACCTGCCCGTTTAGGTAATTTTGTGCATAACTAATGGGAATTATGTGAAATTGACCGAGCAAATCTTGCTGGTGAAACCTGGTCGCTAGCTAACGTTACAGTAACGCGTCGGCTCCAAAGTCAATTGAGCCTGTTTGGCTAGCTAGTAGCACCGATGACACAGGACTGTGGTTTCTGTGCTCAGGCCAGTGTAGTAATCTAAGAACAAATGCGTGCATAATGGCGATAAACCTTTACGAGAGCATAAAGGGTTACCGCTGTGGTCGGTGCATCCGTCTGTAAGCATGCTGTCGTTACAAGCAGACACAAGTCAAGTTAAGAGATGGATGTTAAAATACAAAATGAAATGAATAGATCAGTAACGTTGAATTGAAGCAGAGAAATCAAGCACATTGTTTGGGGGTGATGTGGTTAAGGTTATATCACTGGATTGGTGGCAAGCAATGCATAAGTTAGGTGTGCATCGCACTGTTAGCAATCCTTTGTGTGTTGACTGTGGTGTTTCCCTTCCCAATAATAATCACAATATCTAAATGACTGACGTTAATCATCATATTTAACGCTGCAGACGGGTCTCAGATCGGCTTCAATCATGTCAGTAGCTATAAATCTAACATTAAGTGTAGTTGTTGGTCTTTAAGATAGCCATTTGCTGTGGATGCTACTGCACTGGATGGTAGGTAGCCTTGTTTGACCTTTTTTTTTTTTTAGTATTACTAACTTGGAGTAAAGAGCTTGCCTGAAGTGTTAATGTAATGGTAGATGCCCCAAACAAAAATGAAGGGACCCCCATATGGATACAGCTTGCTTTGGGCTGTGCAGCATGCTAACATACACGCAATTAAATAACTGGAGCTTATTTGGTCATTTCTGGTGAGGAGTGACCCAAAGTGTTTATCTCATATGTTCAACACGTCTCTTTGCCCCCTGAGCAGTTTTAACTGGATATTAATGATGGAGGACTTTTGCTGGATATTGAGAGGGGGGCAGATTCTTAATTCCTCTGTGTAATCAATGTTTCATGCATTTGTTGACATTATTATGTGCTGGCTGCCTACATCAATGTGATACTTGTAAATACTGAACAATGGGGAGACTTGTTGTCTGTGTTTTTGTTTTTGCTTAAGTTGCCAATGCTTAAAACTAGGTGGAAGTTATCCAAGTAAGTTTAAGGCAGAGATTTTGAAAAAAAACAAAAACAAAAAATGTCCTAGTGTCTGTCATAAACAGGTGGTCACTCTGCTGACTGAGCAGCATGGAGTTAAAATGACATCCACAGCAAGAGTTGTAAGGGTTCAACCAGTTGTTCCTGCAGGGGCTTGGATATAGATAATAGTTATGCACTGAGGCCTTCATGACTGAAATACAGGGAAATCCTTGAGAAACACCCAACAGCTGATTTGTGTTTATGATGTTTAACACTGGGTGAAAAGTGAGATATGGTTGTGGATCCATCTCCGCAAGAACCAACATTGTTCTGAACAGCAGCTGTAGGAAAGCTTTTAAAGCTACAGCTCTACATAAAGATTATGGTTTTTATTGGTAAAACCAGACAGGGTCTGTTGAATGCCTACAACAGCTGCGGGTGAATATTGTAGTGTTTAAGTTGAAGTTATGATGAACAGCAAACACTGAATGCCAGTCATTTATCCACTATATGAGTTATACATGCCAGTAAAACTGTAGTGAGGTGAACATTGTCGTTCTTTTGAATAGCTTGGAAATGAAGTGAGAACTTGTCTTGGCAATTACAGGACTAAATATTTAGCACTGCTGTTTTTTATTGTTAGTTAATGACAAGATGCACAATCACACATATTGCGTTCCTGCTCAGCCTTTTTGTTTTGCCCTCTAATTGGTGCAGATGCCACATGCAGCAATCACTGGCAGCCTGTGGTTGTATAAGACTGATGACTCTGTTGTTGTCTGTCAGATGATTTAGAAAGGTTTGTCCTATTTACCTTTTTTTCTACGTACAGAAGAGTCTCTAAGCATGTGGTAGTGACTGTTCATGTGATCTTTAGGTGTTATCAGGAAAAAGTGCGTCAGCAAAGGTTAGTTTACAAACTCCTGAAAATTGATCACTGCTTCTGTAGTAAGTGGTTATGGTATAGTGGGGATGATAGGAAAAGAGAGTTATGATAAACAGTTTAGGTTGACAGTTGAATACATGTCTTAATCCAGGGAAATGTCTTTTAGTAAATCACATACAGATCCTAATTATGGTGCATAGTTCTTACCTTTAGATATTATATGCATCTGATAATTAAGTTATAGTCACACAAGTACTGAATGTTGCCTACATTTACTTTGCTTCTGTGTTCCTAGACTTGTCACCTCCATTACATTTCAGTGCACTACTTAATATAATAAACAGAGATTTATTGGTAATCATGACTGTATCAATAAATGTGGTTTTACATCAATCACAAGCCTGTTTTCAAATGAGTGACCAACAGGTTAGTCAGTCAGACATTTTGTCAAAATATCCTAATCCTAATCCAAAACTATAATCACAATGGTGGTTATTTAAAAATGTGATTGATGCTTTAATTTATCTCTGCTGCTGTTTTGAATTCTCACTGGATATAGTTCTTGGGTCTGTATGTGGTTCATTTGTTCATCCACACACAATGAAGTATAATTCTGATGCTGGGTTTGCGGATGACATTGACTGTATGGAGGTGATATGATTTAATGATATGAGCCATTTTGTGCTTTTTGTTTCGGACACCTACTTGATCATCTTTCTTTTGAGTTCGTCTGGAAAATAGTCACAAGTTGATATATTTAGTGAGTCGGCTGTATCTTACCTGTTATTTCTCAAGTGGCTTCAAGCTGCACACTGAAGTAGGCCTGTCTGCTGGCCCTGGCTTTGTAGTAGACAATGTTTTTGTTTCTGAGGATATAATGAATGGCCTTTTGTTTAGCTTTTTCTGCTAAGGCTTGTTGTGTGTATCAAGCACAATCTGTGGGACACTACAACTCTGGGCCTAAATGAAGTCCATGTTCAGTCCAGATCTAAGATGGTTGAAGAGTACTTTGAGATGTGAAACTTGGTATTATTTGCATATGTCAACAAGGAAGTTGCCATTACACACACAGTAGTATTTCTACAACAGCTACGGTATTGAGTACATTAGTTAAGTCCGTGATCAACATGTTGTAATCA